ACATATCTGCTTACATCTTCTTTCTTGCATCTTACATCATCATCTTACATCGCATTTCTATCATCTGCTTATATTTTATTTTGTTATCATCCGCTTACATCCACGTCTCTGCTAACATGGTGTATAACATCCTCACAACCTGTCAAGGAGTGGGCACCCCCTGGCTCACGCAAAGAATCCATAGAGCCCCGTTTAACCCTCTCTGCTAACTCACACTGTTACATGCACATTTGTCCCTATCCTTTTAAATACACGTCTTCAATCTAATGAATAGATCATCTAGCTGTCGACCATTGTTATTGGTTTACTAGATATGTCCCACCAGCCACTTACATACATACTCCACCACCGGCTAACATCTGAGTAAATCAGCAGTTGAACATGTATTTTCTCATTGCACTTTACACCAGTACCCTAGTGTAGCCAATCACACTTTATACACTTTACACCAGTACCCTAGTGTAGCCAATCGCACTTTACACCAGTACCCTAGTGTAGCCAATCGCACTTTATACACTTTACACCAGTACCCTAGTGTAGCCAATCGCACTTTACACCAGTACCCTAGTGTAGTCTATCGCACTTAACACCAGTACCCTAGTGTAGCCAATCACACTTTATACACTTTACACCAGTACCCTAGTGTAGCCAATCGCACTTTACACCAGTACCCTAGTGTAGCCAATCACACTTTATACACTTTACACCAGTACCCTAGTGTAGCCAATCGCACTTTACACCAGTACCCTAGTGTAGCCAATCGCACTTTACCCGAGTACCCTAGTGTAGCAATAATTGATCCCCAATACAACCACATCAAATCAATAACCAATAGAGACATTGCCAATAAATACAAATTGCTTGTCCATCCATTTAAATAAAAGCTGCAAGTACAATAACATTAGTTATCTGCAAGTAAGGCACGACCTTTGTTCTAAAGACTCAGTCACAAGTACAATGAGAATTTTATGTCAAATATTAGCATCTACCATAAAGCACTTTGAATGTGTATTTAAAATTACTTACAGTCCTAAAAGTTGGCTTTAACCAGCATCAAGAATAAAGCACTTTGAATTTGTGCTCAAATTATATTTAAAATTACTTACAAGTTCGCTTTAACCAACATCAAGTTTGTGGAAGTGTTATAAAATGTATTTAAAATTACTTACAGTGTTAAAAATTGACTTTAACCGTGGCTACACATGATGTGAGAAGAACAGGTGTAATTAGCGAGTTAAAGCAGGCACGTGCTTCATTAAAGGATGCTAGTGACGTCTAGACAAAAGAAATCTTGAATCGATCAGATCATTTAGAGGTCTGCCGTGTTGTTATAGAATTCTACTGTTGGGTTCATGGTACATGGTTCTGTGTGATGGGTTGGGTTCACAGTTCATTTTTCTTAGTGATAGGTTCGCAGTTCATGGTTCTGTGTGATGGGTTAGGTTCACAGTTCATTGTTCTTAGTGATGGATTCATAATTTAGGGTTCAGTGTGCTTGGTTCAGTGATACATTTATAGAACACGTTTCATAGTACTGGGTTCAAAGTGCTAGGTTTAGTGATGAGTTCATAAAGTTGGGTTCACAGTTCATAGTGCTGGGTTCATAGTTCAGGGTTTTTACCTCTGTGTTCGCGTTTTTAGTTAACAGTTCAGCATGAAGATCCAACAGAACACTTAACTATTTAAAAATACGGATGTGATTTTTTTTAAATATAAACTCCATTATCCAGAAAAAAAAGTATGTACCAATACTACTGTACAGCTTACACAAATAAAACGTTGCTAAAGCACCGGTGAATGAAAAACTTGGACTAACACACACCATAACACAGCACCAAAATCAGCGCGGGGTCTTCTAGTTGAGCATCAAGCAGGCTCCTGTTTACAGACCAACAGCCTTACACTTCATGCAGTATTCCGGCTGTGAGTCACACGTGCGGCCTAGGATTCATTCATCACTGGAGCAGATGGTGCCACACACACCCAGTTACTAAAAATCTGCGCCTCCCTCCCCCCCCCCCCCCCTCCCTCCACACCCGTCTCAGTGTAGCCTGAAGACTTCAGGAAGGCAGAAACCCTAGTCGACTTTTCTTCACGGACCACGTGGTGTAGCGCCCCCCCCCCCCCCACCTGCACGTGAATTATTACCTACTTCTGACGGCCATCAAAGATAGGTGTTTATCTTGTAACCGTTTGGTACATTAATAAACAAATTCAGGGTAAACACACCTTAAAGGTGTAGCTGGGACTAGGCAAAATTCTGAGTACAAGCGTTAATATTTAGATAGCTAGATAAAATTGATTTTTAAATGTCCATTTTGTATGTATGCATGTTTAAACAGCGATGTATGTATATTTAAATAGCGATGTATGTGTGTTTAAATAGAGAAGTCTGTATTTTGGTTATGAATGTGGTTATGTAAAGTACACTTTTAAAAAAGGTTTCAGATTACTCAGAGAGCACATAGAAAAAGGTGAACAAACTGGTTTAACAATCAGAGTGGACATAGTTAAATCCTTAAGTACTTGTCCCACACTAGAGGATGACAACAATAGGTCATCACTTTATTAGTCACGCACTTAATCCTACTAGTATACACACATACAAATGCTAAACCGAGAGTACACAAGTGAGATAGTTGATTATCAAAGTTTACACAGAAATTACATAACTGAGATCGTTGATTATAGAAGTTTACACTAATTTTATAAGTGAGATCGTTGATTATCAAAATTAACACAAAGATTATATGACAAAGAAATTGAATATCACAAATTTGGTTATTAAAGTCTACACAGAACTAATATAACTGAGATGGTTCATTATTAAAGAAGTAGCAAGAACATTGATGATTTTATAAACGAACACAGGGAAGTATAGAGTACCATGATGGACGTATTACAGTAACTTATGAGATTGTAGGACACTGCCCACGCGTCTTCCACCAAGTTAGTCTTGTGTTAACTTTCAACAAGATTTACTGGACCTTGTCCATATGTCTTCCACTGGCTAGTGGACAACAGGTGTATAAAACTATCCATCGACTATCATCAAGTACCAGATAACCCCCACCACCATCACCACCCCCACCACCACCCCCACCACCACCCCCACCACCATCACCACCCCACCACCCCCACTCCACCACCCCTACCACCACCACCCTCACCACCACCACCCTCACCACCACCACCACCACCATCACCAACCCACCCGGTTAACAAACGGGCCTTAGAGCTCCGCCATCTGTTTGACGCAAGCCGCCTAGCTAGTTATTATTTTTAGCACGGTCAAGGATGGTCACCCAATCAATAACAATCTCTGGCGGGCAAAGAAAATCTATAAACCCGAGTCGCCGGCTCAGTCCGAGCCACAACATTGGATTATTGCTCATCACAGCACAACTTTTTTCCCACAGAGCCACAACACTGTGTTATCGCCCTTTACATCAGGACTTTTCAACTAACCCTAACACTGTGTTATCGCCCTTTACATCAGGACTTTTCAACTAATCCTAACACTGTGTTATCGCCCTTTACATCAGGACTTTTCAACTAACCCTAACACTGTGTTATCGCCCTTTACATCAAGACTTTTCAACTAATCCTAACACTGTGTTATCGCCCTTTACATCAGGACTTTTCAACTAACCCTAACACTGTGTTATCGCCCTTTACATCAGGACTTTTCAACTAACCCTAACACTGTGTTATCGCCCTTTACATCAGGACTTTTCAACTAACCCTAACACTGTGTTATCGCCCTTTACAACAGGACATTTCAACTGACCCTAACACTGTGTTACGGCCCTTTAAAATAGGACTTTAGGACTTTTTTTCACATAGCCAAAAATTCTATTATTGCCCTTTACAACAGGACCAGGACTTTTTAACAAAGCTATTGCATTCGATTATTGCCCTTTACATCAGGACATTTCACCTAAACCTAACATTAGGTTATTGCTCTTTACAATAGGACATCTGGACTTTTTAGATAAAACCTAACATTGGGTAACTGTCTTTTACATCAGGACATTTCAACAGATCTCTTTAAAATAGGACATGTTTTACACAGTCCTAACATTCATCATCGCCCTTTGCTACAAGAAATTTAGAAAGCTCTACTATTACTTAATTTTGTTATTTTTTTTTTTAACTTTATAATTATTATTTCATTGATCCTAAAGAAGTAATATGTGAAAGGAAAGGGGATGGGGATTGATAGAGAATTTGAAATTTGACGTAGAGCATAAGGGGGGGGGGGGATAGAGAAGTTGACGTCAGCCTATCTAGACCACTCCATTGGACGCTCTGACAGACAGTTGAAGGGCGGAGTTTGATAGAGAGCGCAATCGTCTTTTTTTTAAAATCTCTATCATGCAATAATATAACACGCCTTTTGTCGGTGTGAAATGAGGCTGTAACTAGATGAGCAACAAACAGAAACACATTTTCTGCAGATTTCTTAAAGTCTGGAAATTATCAATAATGGCTGGGCAGGGGCAGGCGCACAAGACAGACAACTGTGTTTAATATTTTGTCCAGTAAACCGGAGTAAGTTATGTCCCTTGGTTTGTTATTTGTTTTCACCCCTTACTAATCAATTATCATAACTCCGCTGTTTTAAATAATTAATAAAGAAATAAAAATCATCCTAAAGTTTTTGTAACACCACCATTAATAAGGTAAATATTTATTACAACAGTTTCATCATTTTACTTAGTGTATCGATTACAGGGTAGAATTCAAATATCTGATGATCAGGGGAAGTAAGCATCTTTGCTCTATCAATAAAGTTCAACTCACTTGCTTCCCCTACATGTTTTCAATGAAAGAAGAGTATGGTCTTTATTAAGCATTTAAAACGTCGGGAGGGCGTAATTATAATCGTGACACCATCCCGAACCCTGGCTGCTAAAAGAGCAGGAAAAAACTCACTGCGACACTGTAATGGTTGTGTTTTTATGAGAACTTATTTTTAAAAAATGAAGTGTACTCACGATATGAAAGTGGTGGAAGGGATGGCCCATCCACCCTGCTCCACTGTAACCTCCTGACACCACTGTATCACAATCCTCATGGTCACTGTCTGCCTCGAACTCGCTGTCCCCTCTCAGCTCCTCCCACTCCATCCTGAAACAGGCAACATATATATATAGACATATATATATAGACATAAGGTTAGACAATAAAATTTAAGTTAAAAAATTTAAAATTCAACAATAAAAGGGGAGTTAACAAGATGAAATACTAGCTATCGCCTTATCAACTGGCCGTCGGCAGTGGTTCGTTACGGTTGGCTGAGTTAAAACAAATTACTTAAGTGAACGTGGAAAATAAAGCAAATAAAAGATTGCCTTTTAAAGGCATAAGAGTTAAGAAAATAAAGCTAATTTGCTTTCTTTGATAAAGGGAATTTCATGAGCGACCGTTGCTTTTATTTTTTTAAAAGCAAATTACTTTTATTTTTCTCAGTGCATTTAAAAGCTGATTATTGTAAAGGTTCTTTATATTTGTTTTATTAGATTATAAAATTAATAAGTCGTTTTTTTTTTAATTTACATCTAAATGCAATTCAAGTCAAGCCACAATAGTTTAAAATGTAAGCTTTAAAAAAAATATTTCCATTTCTTTTGATTAAATGTCTTTAAAAACAAAGTCGACAGAACCAAAGAACATGAAGACAAATAAACGCAAGAATGAATTGCTGTGTTCAAAACAAACAAGCGTTTATTTCCATTACATGCCAAAAACTGAAGACAAAACACTCTGAAACAGCGCACGCTTGGCCAGGGTGTATCAATGTACGAGCAGCATGCGATACACCTTAATTTGTGCCTTTCAACTTCAATAAAAAACTGCACATAAAATTACACAATTACATCATCAGAGGATGCAGCGTTGCTTATCTGTGAGTTAATGCGAGCCCCGGCACATATTATTACGTTCAAAGAGATCGTTTTCCGATATTCGCCAAATCGTAGAGGTGTGTCTGCCCCAAACAAATGCTAATTAAAAAAATATTTCACATATTTGTGATTTTTTTTCCCCAGATCTATATGCCCCTTGGAATATTGAATACAAGAAAATGTGGTCTTACTTTCATTGAACTTTTTTTTTTTTTTACGTTGAGAATTTTTTATTTTTTTATTTTTTTTTTTTTTGTAGACTAACTGCATGTAAAAGGCTACGGACGGGATAGGGCTAATAAATAATTATTTTGTTCATGTGTCTATATGTGAATATAGTTTAGTTATTTATTTTGTTATCTATTTATTACTGCGGCTGTCGTCGATTTGTAATGCAGTAAAACAAACGTGAGCTAGTCTCCACCCAACACCAAACATGCTTAAACTTAACATCAAATCGAAAGTACAGCTCTCATACCTAGAGAAACTCTAACCTTATCACAACCTTAAACCTTACGCCGACCCAGACTTTAAACTCAACCGCTAATGCATAAAATTAATTTCTAAATTAGCTTACAATTTAACTAAACCCATCGCTGATCTAGATTTATGACTAAACCCAACACATAATCCCACCATAACACAAATCTAACCTTTAACTAGACCAAAACATCAACCCATACCACAACCTTATATTGAGACCATAAACTGTGTCAGAAACTCTAAAAAAATATAACTTACTCTAACTTATAAGAAAACAAACCAATCGTTAATCACATTCTAATCACTAATCCATTATAATCTTAACCTTCTCCAAGGTTAAATAATGTTAAGTACCCTACCCTACACTACAAACTACAACCTATACTGTGTTTTATTCAAACGTTTCTTTCAACAGTCTTGTTGTGACTGTAGTTCCTCTACCCACTTGACCAGTCAAATACAGCCATTAGACACACGTCTGTCTACGGTCACTTCACGGACGTACGGTAATTATATTCACCTCTTTAGCCGTGCATTAGCCAGAGCATCTTTTATAGCACTGGCCCGGCTCTTTACGTTGCTTTTATCCTATAGTCTCTCACTCTATCCCGATGTCTATATCTATATATTTTTTCCTCTTTCTTGCTGTCTCTCTATCTCTTTCTTTCTCTCTTTCTGTAATCCTTTTTCTCTCTTTCTCTTTCTTTCTTTTCCTTTCTCGCTGTCTCTCTATCTCTTTCTCGATGTCTCTCTGTATATCCCTTTTCTCTCTTTCTTTCCCTTTCTCGCTGTCTCTCTCTCGCTTTTTCGCTCTCCCCCCCCCCCCCCCCCCCCCCTCTAGAACCACTGTACTCTATGGTGCTATATAAGAACGTGCAACACAGTAAACCAAGAAGACTGATCAGCGAGAGAGAAATGTTCAAGGAAATTCTGACAGCTTTTTATTCTTTAAAGTCGAACGTCCCAGCAAAGGATGAAAAAACTTCTTCACGCAACCCTGACCCACCCTCCCCACAGGGGTGGAAATCTGGGCCAGAGACGTACAACATCAACCACGTACTGACACGGCCCATCTACACATTGACATGTTACGGCACGTTTACTTTCACCCGTCAACAAGAAGAAATATACAGAAACTTAAGATGTAGGTAGACCAACAGGAAGAAATAGGCCTATACAGAAACTTAGGTTGCAGACCAAAATGAAAAAAATATACAGAAACTTAACTTGTAGGCGAACAGGAAGTAATATACAGAAACTTGAGTTGAAGGCCAAAAAGAAGAAATATACAGAAACAAGTTGTAGACCAACAAGAATAAATATAGAGAAACTTAAGTTGTGTTAGTTTAAAAACTACCCCCGCTAGTCTGGTGTGTTGATCATCTACCCCAACATTTAACTCTGTACACTTATAGGACTCGCTGGATGTTTAAACAAAAAAAGCTAGGAGTAGGGTGTGAGTGTGTGTGAGTATGTGTGAGTGTGTGTGTGAGCGAGTTTTTATTTACCTACTCCTGACACAGAGCGTGAGGGGAGGCAAGCGACCCCGCGAGGAATCTACTCGGGCCAGAAGATCTACGACATACTAAGACGGGAGAAAGTGCAGGGGAGAAGACTCGCACTCAACACATGGAGGGAGGAACCGTATCAAGGACGGCGCGAGGGGTAGAAATACCGCGCGAGAACAGAAGCACTCGGCTGTTTACACACATATGCACATACCTATGTATGTGTCAGGGTATTAAAAAAACACGTAAAAACATTTTACACATATAAAAGAAAAAAAACGAAAAGTGATAGTTAGTAATGGGAAGCGAGAGTATCCACTTGAAACTAGAACTCTGAACGGATAGAACAACTAGTTACAATGGTATGAGTCAAGCGGAGATAACCCCACTCAACGCTTCCCATAGTGACAGTATTGGCCGAGTAGATTTATCTTGCCATTGGGGTTGTAATCAACAAGCAAATACGAACAAGTGGCTCACTCTTCACTGTCTCCAACCTCGGCCATCACTGTACACAAACACTGTACACAAACACTGTACACAAACACTGTACACAAACACTGGACTCTACCGCTGACATATGCGCTGATAAAAGGGATATCTTCAATAAAAAAAACCTCCTTCATTACCTGAGTCGTTAATTTAATTGAAATACTTCATTAGGTTAGTTTTCAAATCAAATTGGACTATTAATTATCTGAGGTGTTGATTAAATTTAAAGTATACAATTCATGTTCGTTTTATGCAGTAGAGTTGAGCCTTTTTAAACCGGTTTTACATGCACACATACAACACACATACTAGTTTTTGTGCAAGAAATCCTTATGTAAAAAACGTGTATTGTGAGTGAGTGGTATTTTCTACTACAAGATGTACACGCTAAATGGTGAGTAGACGTGTATGATGCCAATAGGTAAGTATCAAGTTGTTCTATTAGAGTCGGGTAGGCGTTGGGTTTACATAAGTAAACAATATTAGTGGAGAGTTCTAATCTACGTAACATTATAGATCGAGGAGGGATTAGTGAAGGGATTATCTACCGCTACATCGTGTGTGTTGGATCGATCTTTGGGGAGGGGGGGGGGGTATTTGTGTTAAGTTACACACTACCTACCCACTGGTCATCTGAAGTGGGGGGGGGATATTTGTGTTAAGATACACACTACCCACGGGTCATCTGGAGGGGGGGGGGTTGTGTTACGACACATCCGGTCATCTGATTAGTTTTAAGCGCTAATAAATAAACGATTCGTGCGGAGAGGCTCAGCGAATGATACGCTGGAAACAGCCTTAACAAATAACATTTTTCTCAAACCTTTTCCCCGGGGAGGGAACCGCCTTGTGATGAATAGCCGGCTCCAGTTGGGGGAGTGGGGGCAGCGGCCCATCTGATGGGGACGTAAATAAAAGTGTCGGCATGGTGAGGTGGCACCTTTTTAATTGGGCAGCCATTTTAAAGCATTTAAACAAACCCCTGCTAGAGGAGATACTAGGAACTATAGGAGGATTTGAGGGACGTTCTGGTTGTATCTGATCAACTACATCGTGACGTTTTAAAAGGTTGTTGCAATCAGTCATACTTAGTAATTAGTAACATTCATGGTAACAATGGTAGGATCCTAAAAAGAATGTTGTAAACAAAAAAAATAATATTTACAAATATTAATTAGCTGCTGTCATCACCCCACCCCCTAGCTGCTATCGCCCCACCCCTTGCAACAGATCAACCCTAGATCATAGCTGCAGCCATCACTCTAGCTGCTGTCATCACCCCACCCCCTAGCTGCTATCGCCCCACCCCTTGCAACAGATCAACCCTAGATCATAGCTGCAGCCATCACTCTAGCTGCTGTCATCACCCCACCCCCCAGCTGCAGTCATCCCCCCCACCCCCCAGCTGCAGTCATCCCCCCACCCCCAGCTGCAGCCATTCCCCTAGCTGCAGCCATCGCACTACCCCTATGTTACAGCCATCCCCTCTAGCTTCAGTCATGACCTTACAAAACTAGCTAACTCTGCTCTACCGAACAAGTGTGAAAACCTGGAGGTGCTGTTATGCCGAAACAAATATACGTAAATAATACGTATAACACGAGGTGGTGCTGACTGCCTGGCACCGTGCCAAGACAGGTAAGAACTGGACCAGGTGTGTAACGGAATAACCTTGATGACTATTAGCGTGAGCAATCTTCGATTGTTCCACAGAATCAAACCCTGTCTATGGTGAGTAGAC